TTGCATTTTTGTGTCAAAAGAGGAACGTTGTCTTGTCGACAATTGGGTTATGTTGGTTGTGAATTTGTGGTGGAGATGTTGTGGTGTGATGGAGATTGAGGCACCAGAATTTGGAGCTAGCGTTGGGTAGGTACGATGGAGCCGTATAGTAGTGGTGGTGGTGATTTTGGAGTGGGGGTAGATATGTGTAGGGTGGCTGAAAAAGAAGAAATTTGGTTTTAGGTTTTTGATTTTAATTATTTGAATTTAGTTATTTTGTTATAAAAAATGTAAAGTTACCATTTAAACCATTTAAAATTAGTTAAAATTATCGTCAATGTCAATTATTTGGTCAATTAACAGTCAAACTAATAGTTTTCATCCATTTGGACTTTAAGCGAGAATTTCGGAAAGCTTTGGTACCGTAGCTGGCACAAATGAAAGGTTTGGGTCAAGTCTACTATTAAATGAAAGGTTTGGTACCTAGCTGCAATTTTCCCTAAAAATTATAGATTTTGAAGTTTTTCATTTTCTCAATTCTCCATATTTGATTTTCAAATCATCAAGTCCTAATTTTCAATATTTATGTGATGAATCAATGAATTTTCGATTTCTAAATCGATCTCTGATATTCTTGGGAATCAATATATAACTAGAAGGTCAATTGAGTCACGTTATTAATTTGGAGTCAACATGGCTACAATCATGTGTTCATTTTGGATGCACAATCACCGTCCTGATAGAGACGAGTATTGTTTGTGACATCCGATGGCAAAAATTGTGTTACATGAAGAGACATTTTTTTGCCCCTTTCAATTTGAAAGTAGAAGAATATTTTGATCCACATGATATTGGTTATGATGGTCCTTTGATTTAAGACTGGGAATCTTGTGTTAAACTTGGTCCCAACAATTTCAGCTAAAAAATAAAAATTAATAATAATAATAATAATAATAATAATAATAATAATAATAATTAGTTTTGGATATAGAAGTAAGATAGGTAAGGTTCAGCTACGTGGGATTGCAGTCAAATTGGGACTTTCTTGTGCTCTTCCGTTCATGTCACGTATTTAACTGCATTATGTGTGAAATATATGTATATGTATTAACAGCATGCAGCACAAAGTTAACAAGACAAATGTCATTCTCTATTAGTAAATCTAATTATTTTTCAACAACCAAACACGACATTAAAATTAACTAAATCATATGACCAGCAAATTTATGGTTAGCTAAACGAAGTATTTTTCGTCAGTGGTTTGCTTTCAATACTCCTATAGACATATGATCGTTTGGTTTCCCGCAAGTGAACGAGATTGTGAACAAGTACTATAATAGTGTGTAGAGTGTCTAATCCATGAGGATTAATTATTCAATTGAGTTCAAATTAATAACAACCTTAGTTGAATAGCAACTACTTTTAAGTTTTCTATACTAATGCCTAAGTTATCAATTAAACTAGAAAGCTATTTGACTGGTTTATCAAATATGTGAAAGTATTGTTAAGATGTCGAATCCTGCTAGTTAGTCCAGTTTTAGCACAAAAAATTAAAATGCAGCTTGTAGTCATTCTTGTTGGTCAATATTTCTAATTTAATTAAAAACATTTTTTGATAATTATCAAATCTATTCTCCTCACGTGACTTTTCTATCTTTTGATGAAAAATACGAACATGATAAACGCATTAAATGATTTAGAATGACTATGAAAATCATGTAAAGTATAAAGGTATATCTCTATCCCCCTGTCGAATCTTACAATGTTTATTATTTTTAGCTATAAACCTATTATCTCTCTCATTAATAATAAATTCCAAATAAATCATCTCAATTAGTAGCTAATTAATTGAGAATTCGGTGAAAAAAGTAATAAATATCCAAGAAAACATGCATACTAAACATTAAAATAATTAATTAATACCAAAAATTTTATAACAATGATTCATCTCATCATAGCAATGTAAAAATCTATTCAAACATATTGAAATTACAGAAAATCATTTTAAGTTTAATGAACATCACCCGAAAATCAAATAATAAAAGAGAACGATGAATTCTTGATATCTATTGACTTTTCTACCCAATTCTTGAGCAAATTTCCTAGTATGAGTTCTTCTTGATGATCTTGCAATTCTTTGGTTGAATTTCCTCGCAACTTTGACTTTTGCTCCTCTTCTTCAATGTGATTCTCTCAAAATTTCCTTGTTCTTGATGTGTTTTTGTGCACAAAAGTGGCTCTCCAATGTGTATGAGATGTTTTGGTATTTATATGACACGTATTTAGGTCAAAGAAGTCACCTAAAACCTTTTCTAGTTGAGTTTTAATCGTATAAGGAAACTTGAGATTCGTCCGAAATCTTGTATTATACAGTAGCATAGTACATTAGGATATGACTGCATAGTTCACTTGTTGAACTCCAAATTCCTCCCTGCATGTGTGGATGTGATCACATGGATTTTTGAACCATGCGACCACATAGTTATAGGTTTTTTTCGTAGGACAACTTTCAGTATTTTGGTCATATCGTCCTTTCTTAATATTCAATTGTGGTTATTCAAAGTACGTTGAAAAGATAACTCAAAAAGCTACAATTCTTCCAAATATATCATTTTTCCAATTTGAATGGTTGCTATGCCAAAAATGGATCTCAAATAGAGACTAAAATTTTAAAGCATAACTTTTTCGCCTAAAAATTGATATGTGATAATACTTCGACTATATTTTATCCCTTTGAATTCTTTCCTCATCTAATTAATCCCTAACACTCTCGAATCTTCATATTAAGGTTCGACATAAATTTTCAATATTTGCACTTTAGTCCTCAAAACTTTGATTTTGCTTCATTTTAGCTCTTTTTCTTGTAACCTTGTTCCTTTATCTTCCAATTGTATCAAATTTCATGAGATTTGAAATTTTGTCAAACCAAATTGAATCATTTTATTTTTCAAACCAAACCATTGCTTATTATTTGGTTCGATTTTAATTTGCGATTTACCTATCTACATTATGGTAATATATAAGTTTGAACGATAATTTGTAATGTTATATGTTAAATTACATTCATATTTGTCTGAAATTCGAAATACAAACAAAAAGGTAAAAAAGTAATAACAAGTTAGCATCTAACAATAGGCCAATAGCTTTCTCCACTCAAACATTTACGAGCAACAACATAGAAGCAGCACGCCATCACCCCTCATCGGCAAAATCAAGCATACATTCATGGTTTGAAAATGGAACAACCAACAGATTGCATATTGCATTCATCCGCAATTCGACACGCAATCATCAGATTTAGCAAAATTAGTAACTCAAATATAGAGTCGAGCAACTCTTAACTCAAGCAATAATCATAAATCACTATAGAGTTTTAGTCTGTTTGATGGAGATTAAACCCTTGTTTGAAACACATTTTTTCATCAAAATACATTATTCAACAATGATTTGATATCATTTCAACCATACATTTCGTAATAAAATAATATGACACATAAACGCAAAACTTTTCCTAATTTTTTAATCACACATTCTCCATCGTAACATTATTTCAAAATGCATTTTTTTTTTATAAAAATGGGGCTCAAACAACCCTTAAAATCAATTTTTTAGTAGATTTTGATAGAAGTAGATAAAATATGTGGATTTAAAGTTTTAGAATCCATAAAATATGTGGTTAAAATTAACTGACAATTTGACTTAGATTAAAATCTAGATTTTAATTGATGCCAAACAGCGGCTTAATATAATTATAAAGAATCTAACACAGACAACTAAGCCCCAAAATTTGAAAAGAAAATAAGCAAAATGTCAAATTTTAACCAGCAATACAAGTTACAAGTAAAGTTTGGCAAACATAACTATAATGCAACGACAAAGGTGTGTGCTCGTTTGTATGATTATTTTCTCACTACAACTATTACAAATAAAATTGAATATATATTTGAATGATTTATGAATAAAATTGGAGGATGTGACTGCAAAAGATAGTGTAATAATATAATGAAAATAATGATCAAACATAAATGAGCTTCTAATTTTATATTAATTTATACGAAATTAACTTAAAATAAGAAGTATCTGAATGAACAAGAACAAAGAATTATTAAATTCAAAGTAGTTTCAACAAATATCTAAAAATATTATTATCATGAGATTAAAACAAAACAATATAATAACAACCTATATACCATGTAGTATATATTTTGAAGATAAGAGAGAAAGAAAGAAACATGTAATGCTGTAACTATAGCAACAAGATCAAACCAAATTGCATTGAATCTTCAAAATTTTAATTCAAAATGAAATAATTTATATCTTGTTGGGTTGAAAAAATAATGATGGGTGATTGTTAGACATGGAATTTGAAAAGACAAAGAGACTTTTTGTTTGGTTAAAAAAGAAAATGAATGTTTGGAAGATAAAGTGTTAACTTAATTATAAATCATAAAAGTAATGTTTGTGATAAATAAATACGAGTGATAAGTTCGTTGTCATATATATATTTTAAAGATTTTTGTATTTTTAATTTTTATTAATTTCTTATATTTGCATACGATAATTCTATTTTCAGAATTCATAAATATAATTTTCATTTTTTTCAACCAACCAATTAACTTTATATAATTTGGGGTCCTCAACAAAGCGAGGCTTTAGGCGATCGCTTACTTCGCCTATACTCAGGGCTGTCACTGGTGCTAGGCGTTTTGAAAAATACATGAATATATGCAGGTATATACGAAGCATATGTGCTCATTTTAGAATACTAATAACAGCTCAAAATATTATTGAAATTAATATTTGACTTTTTAACTTAAATTAGGAATCTTTATTGAATTTTTTATCCAAAGGCTAGCGCTATTAAAATATATTTGACTCAAAATACTAAAAAATGATGTTTGACATATTTATAAAGTGCATTAATTTCCAATAATAGTGAGATGGAATTTGATTATAAAATGAGAAGAGAAAAGGACAAGTCGGTTTGTGTTGCCACCTACACAGAAAGAATCCAGGCCAAATCTCAATACGTAATTATCAACCAGATTTAGATTGTAATTTTATGTATTTGATTATTCACATATAATCAAAATCCGTAAAATCACCGCACCCCTGGACCCGTCTTTGTTTTATTTCCTCTACAAATACCAAACCAAACCAGGTTTTTGTATATCCGAAGGATCAGAACACTTTATGCTGCATAATTATTCTTTCCAATTTTTAGGTTTTCCCCCTGAAAATTTCGATTCTGATTTTAGGGTTTGTTTTTTGAGTAAGAAAGAAGGAGAGTTAAAAATGAGTGGAGAGAGTGTGACCCTTGATCTTCTCAAGAGAAAAATGGACCAGTTTGCAAAGGAAAGAGACTGGGAAAAGTTTCACAGCCCTAGAAACCTTTTCTTGGCTATGGTAAAATTTTCCATGTTTAAACTTGTTCTTTAAGTTAGAATCCTTTGTTTTTTCTTTTCTAAAATAAATGCTTTCATACTTTGTATTAATGGGTTTTGTTTTTCTTGATGAAAATGCATATAATTTTGTGCAGGTTGGAGAAGTAGGTGAAGTTTCAGAGATATTTCAGTGGAAAGGGAAGGTTCCAAAAGGACTGCCAGATTGGAAAGAAGAAGAAAAAACTCATCTGGGTGAAGAACTTTCTGATGTATTGCTTTACCTCATTAGACTTTCTGACATCTGTGGAATTGATCTTGGTAAAGCTGCCCTTCGTAAGATTCAACTCAATGCAATCAAATATCCAGTCAAAGGCTCTTCATACAATGTCAGCAATACTAGCAATTCAAGTTGACTCGAGAAGTTCTTGACTATACAATATTGGTTCGTACTAAAGAAAGTTAAAATTTTGTTCAATAATACATGTCAGTTATGTCGGTAGGTCTTGTTCCCTATATTATGTAATCGTGTTCAATAATATAAATTAGTCGAGTCGGTGGGTCTAGAGAAATATATGAATGATATTCCTCTTCCTATTGGTCTTAGGTAGTTGGGTTGATAATATTGACAATTTGACATTTCCTAGTATGATGATTGATGTTGGTTTGGCATTAATTTCTCTTGAGAATTTTTTCGCTATCTTGGGATATTTGAATAAGCTTCCGTTTGACATTCTTTAATCAAAATATTTTTTTTTCGACATATTTTTTTTTTAATCATACATTCATATAATGAAATATTTTATACGTAAATTCAAAATTTTTCTTACTTTTTAATCACATATTCTCTAAAAATTCATTATTCCAAATATTGATTTTCTCAAATAATGACCATCAAATAAGGGTTAAATTAGATTTTATATTATTTGTCATTTTTATATTAATCTATTTAATGAAGATTGAATGAATTATTAAAATCTCCTAGCTTGGTTGACCATCACTTTCCATTCCAGTCAATTGCGTAATACCCACGGCTATCATGTAGTAGGTTCAAGACTCGAGAGTATGGCGATTAATGGATTGGATTTTTTTATCCGAATTCAATGAAATTAATAGAAGATGGATTTAAGGTCTCAATCCAATAATTCAATCAAAATCTGAATCCGATAATCCGTTAACTAAATGAAGCAAATATGAATATAGGTCTATCTAATTCAATAACAACATGATCCGATTCATTATAATAATATTTTATATATTATCACATAATTTATTACACATAACTTTTTTTCCTTTTGAAACTTGTATTATACTCTATGACTTTTAATGAAAAAGTCAAACCTATCAAATTTAAATAGATCATAAATACATATTATAATAAATTATGTATTAATATTGAGAATCCCTTCTTTTGACAATATTATGAGTCGAATTATCGAATTGGACATTCAATAATACAACAAGTCGAATATAGATTCAATAATCAAATAGCCGTTGGATTATCGGATTGGATCGAATTCATGAATTATTCTTATCTCCGATCAATTTACAGCCACACTCAAGAGTAATAAGTTAGCACACTTGTATTAGATTGGGAGATTAATCGTATGTTCTCAATGGGAGATCAATCATACTACAGTGACAGATTTAATGACATAAGGAACACGTGTCAATATATAATTGAACGGTTTAAAAAAATACAACACCCAATCACTGTTTGTCTCACTACACTGTCACCTCCATCCCTTTCATTGACCATGTGTAAAGAGCATTATTCATGGAAGATTATACGATTCTAAATAAAAGAAAGTTATAAAAAAAAAAATCTTCAATTTGTTAAAGAATTAGTCTATTCATACACTTTTCGTGTGAAGAATGTAAATTATTATGTCCACAAAAAGTATACATGTAACATCACCTTTCGATAAATATTAGTAATTTGAGACCATAATAGTCTAAATGGCCATTGATAACGAGATAATGTCTTGTCGATCGACGATGGTGATTAGCATCTAGTTGTTAACACTTGTTGTCAATATAGACCTCAGGAAGGTGAACAAGTGCTTAGAGTGGTTGTCAGTGATGATCTAAAGCTAGGAGCCTAGAACCGATAATCGACTATGCCTTGTTTGATTTACTTTAAAATTTTAGCCCCGTGTAATTTTCATTCTTTAGCCATAAAAATGAAAAATATAATCGTCATCTATTATATCAAATCACTAAATTTGACTTTTTATCTCTTGTATGAGTCCCATAAGGACTACATTTTTCATTCTCATTCTTATAAAAATGGATACCAAACGGCTAATACATATTTCTCTATTTTCTTTTTAGCCACACATTTTTTAATAAAATAATATTATACGAAAATAACCAAAAAAATAAAAATCCTTCTTTTTTAATCACACATTCTCCCAAAAACTACTATTCCAAAATACACTTTACCCAAATTTCATATTAAATGGATAAAGCCACTTACATATATCTACATTTATATTTGACATCATACTTGTTGACAAAATTTGATTGGTGAAAAGACAATTTTTTTTTAATTGCCAAATGGGGAATTACCACTCGACGGAGTGTAAAATTTAGTGTACACTATGATGTATACCAAACATGATTGGAATAATATATGACCAATTGGTTGAGGTGAACGCAAGATGATGTACTGCTAGAGAACGTTGCTGATGATCCGTGGGTCAATTAAGGTTTGATCGAATGGGTTTTAAACGTGCATGCACTGAATTATCGTCCCACATATTCCTCATTTAACTATGTGCTGCTTTTGGAAAACACGAAATATTTGCCCTTGTTCGACAATCATTAAAATTATTTTTTTTCTTAAACTCATTTTCAATTACACATTCTTACAATAAAATATTTTGTACTTAAATTTAAAATTTTTCGTACTTTTAACCATATATTCTCTATAAAAATAAAAAAAAATAAAAAAATAATTCACTATTCCAAAATTTATTTTCCCAAAAAAAAAAAAAAACTCTTTTAATTGTTGTCAACATTTCAAAATTCAAAATTGCCATTCTATAAAGGCCTGCTTAGGATTATGTACGTTTTTTAAAGTACAGGTTTTGAGATTTTATGAGCCAGGGGATTTTGGATGATTTTAATAACAATTTTCAAAATAGTTCAACCTATATTTGAAAGTTTTTTTTATCCACGTATCCTAAACGCGTTTTAAAAGAATAAAATTATATATATGCCCCACTTGTAAGTAACTTTTTTTACATATAAATTAATATTTAACTAAAGTTTTACGTTAAATATTTACTCACAATTAAAATTTTAAGTTAGTATTTTTTACCGATAAGTAAATTTTACAGTTATAAGTTAACTTTGCACTTTTATATAATTTCGAAACATGAGTAATTTTTTATTTATATGTATTTTTTTTATTTTAAAAGTGAATTTGTCTCTTATTAGTAATATTTTTACTTTATTAACATATGTTTACACAAAAGTGAATTTTTATCTTATAAGTAACTTTTTACTTAAGTAATTTTTAAATAAAATTTATCTTATAAATATTTTTTTGGGTTAATGTATTTTTATTTAAAAGTTAGTTTTGAAAAAAATATGTAGGTTGAAAATAATTATTTTACAAAGGGTAAAATTAGAAAAGAATTTGAGAAACAACAAAAACTTAGGCCATCTCCAACCCTACACCAAATTTTGCACCATTTTGCACCAAATTTTACACCAAACTAAAATTCATATCCAACCATTACACCAAAAATTACACCAAATAAACAGTATTTAACCATTTTCTTCCCTTTTTATTCTTTATAATCTACTTATTTGAAATATTATTTATTTAATTATTTCATAAATACGTAAATTACTAAATAAATAATTACGTTAAATTACGGAAAAGATTAAATTCATTAATAAATATAAAAAACATAGAACAATTAATAAAAATACTACAACAACGAAAATATGAAATAATGCCATTAGAAAATAGTACAATGTATTTCGAATTTGGATAGACGATATTATGAAGTCGCTAAATTTTTGTAATTTAATTCTCAAAATTCATATGTTCATCCCACAAATGATCGATTAATGCATTTCGAAGTGCAATGTGAGTTTCTTTATCCTTGATTTGTCTATGACGAACAAGGAATTCCTGAAAATGGCGATTTTCGTCTTCAACCAACTCAACTTCGTGTTAACTTTAATAAATAATCGTGTTTGATGTATTTTAAATTGTTTTCGTCTTTTAATTAATTAATTAATTATGTCTTACATTTAAAATTTATTTTAAACCCAAATAATATTAATATTAATAAAAAAAAAAGTAATAATTTATTGTATTAAAAAATATATAGCACAAATTACATAAATACCCTCAACAAATTTATTTGAAAATTGTTAAATAAGGGCAAAATTGACATTTTACACTTTGCACCATTTTGCACCAAAATGGTGCAAAGTTTGGTGTTCGGTTGGAGCAATTTTGCACCAAAAAATGGTGCAAAATGGTGCAATGGTGTTGTGGTTGGAGATGCCCTTATAGATCTGATAGTTGAGAAAAACGGTTCAATCCAAAATCAATGTCCCAAAAAAAAAAAAATTAGTAAGCACATATATATTTTCCCCAACATCTCATGTGTGATCCGAAATTGATTAAAATCGGTGAAAAAACTCCCCAAACAAGTCCAAAGGATTTTCACATTTTGCTCACAGTATAGGACAACCGAAACGGTTTTGCAGCAAAGTGTATGAAATGAATTTATGAAGAATAAAAATAATTTTTAATCATGGGTCTAAAGTTCCTAAAAAGAAAGATGAAAGAGAAATATTGAAAGAACAAAAAAAAAAAAAGTTCCCAAAAAAAAAAAAAAAAAAAAAAAAATGAAAAAAACAAAAAAAAAAAAAAAAAAAAAATACATAGGTGTGAAATTGAAATGAAAGATGTGGAATTGTGGGTATAAAAATGAAAAGTTTGGGTATAGTTTGCAATAATTTGAAAGGTTAGGAACCCCAACTACAATTCTCCCTAAAAAGTATTATATATAAAGATGTCAATTATTGGATTAAAGGTAGTACGATTGGCAAATTTTGTCTAATGAACGAGTTTGTAACATGCAAGTAAGTCCCATTCTCCATAAAAAGTATTATATGTAACGAGTTTGATGTCAATTATTGTGTTAGTACTAGTACGATTGACAAATTTTGTCTAATGAATGAGTTTGTAATGTGCAAGTAAGTCCCATGAACTTGATGGAACGTAGAAACATTGATTAACATGAACAAGATAATTGGTGTAATTTTATTTAGAGATAAAACTTAAGACTGCGCAGAAAACTAATCATTAATTATTATATTTGTTAAGCATGCCGTTAAAAAAAAGGGGGGAGAGAGAGAGAGAGAGAGAGAGAGAGACGTCGAAAGGGGATAAAGCCTTAGAAAAGGGAATAAATCTCTATGATATCATCATTATGTAGTATTTGATAGAATTCAACAAAAAAGGTAATAAAATTCTATTAAAGTTTCAATTATCTTTCATAATGTCGAATCTCTCATATGAAGCATGTCCATAAAGTATTGATATTATGGTATCATTTTGTAGAAGGGAGTGAGGCAAAATTAATCTCCCATTTGATTATTGATTTATTTAATATCGCCATTACATACTCAAATACTTTAGTA